TGGCTTTTACACTCCACGCCACAACACTGGCCCCTACACCTGACTTTTCTAGATGTATTTAAATTGTTCTATGGTTTTTTTCTGCTTTTGTTTCTAAGGTGTATTATTTTCTTTAATTTTGATGTATTATTTATTTGAAATGCAGAGTTACAGAAGGCAGAGAGAGAGAGAGAGAGGTCTTCCATGTGATAGTTCACTCCCCAGATGACGACAATGGCCAAAGCTGCACTGAGCTGCAGCCAGGAGCTTCTTTTGGGTCTCCCACAGGGATGCAGGGGCCTAAGGACTTGGGCCATCTTCTGCTGCTTTCCCAGGCCATAGCAGAGAGCTGGATCAGAAGTGGAGCAGCCAGGATGTGAACTGACACCCATATGGGATCGCAGCATTGCAGGCGGTGGCTTTACTAGCTAAGCCACAGTACTGGCAACAGGTGTAATCTTTTCTAAGTTTTTTCATTCTTTTATAATGTTGAATGTTCACAGCCTCCAGTGTCTAAGGTTGGGTACCTTTCCATTGGGTTTAACTTCTAAGTAATCTGGAGGAGCTTCCCATTAGAAGAAACACAGCACAAAAGAATTTTCTTTACCTTTTGGTTATTACAGAAGGGAAAGAAATTTGTGTTTTGTCAAGATTATCTCATGTATTCTCTGACTTTGGGTTTAGAAAACTGAGTTTTAAGAATTGAGATTTTTAATATATTTTAAATGTCTATGTCTATTAATTAAATATTCAATATACTTAATATATTTATACATAATTTGACTTAATATTATGTAAGTGATTATTATAATGATCAGGGGTCCTATGTGGTCTTCCATCCACTGGTTCACTCCCCAAATGACCGCAATGGCCAGAGCTGAGCTGATCAGGAGCCAGGGGCCTCTTCTGGGTCTCCCACATGGGTTCAGGGGCCCAAGGACTTGGGCCATCTTCTACTGCTTTTCCAGGCCACAGAAGAGAGCTGGATCAGAAAAGGAGCATCTCATATGGGATGCTGGTGCCACAGGCCGGGTCTTTACCCTGCTGTGCCACAGCTCCAGCCCAGAATAGCAGACTTTGACCCAGCTAACAAAGGAGCCTCAGCCCCATCAAAACATCTTCACCTGGTTGATGCCTTGGATTTCCCCAGATGAGCACTTATTAGAGCAAAGCCTGAACAGCTGCCAAATTGTCAACTAAATAGAATCACTTTGATTTCTAACCCCCATCTGAAGCTACCCATTTTTTAAAAAAGATTTATTTATTTTATTTGAAAGGAAGAGGTACAGAGAGAGAGAGGAAGAGATGGAGAGAGATTTTCCATCAGCTAGTTCATTCCCCACATGGCTGCAATCACCTGAGCTGGGCCAGACCAAATCCAGGAGTCAGAAGCATCTCCCAGGTCTCCCAAGGGGGTGGAAGGGGCCCAAGCACATGGGTGACCTTCCACTGATTTCCCAGCTGCATTCACAGTGAGTTGGATCAGAAGCAGAGCAGCTGGTGCCCATATGTGACAGTGGTACTGCTGGCTGTGCCTTTACCCCATATACCACAGTGTCTGCCCCTCGACCCATGTTCTTAGAAACAGCTCTTGCTGGCATGTTGGGTGGAAAGAGCATGTTTTAGATGAAGAGATCTCTTTCTCCCCAAGATGCCGGCTTCTTGAAATAAATGCTTTCCTCTCTGGTGAATCCAGTTGTCGAGAAGCAAGGGCCTGATTACTGTTCAGTAGCCTTATTTTCTGCTGACTTTACATAAAAATATAAACACCCACAGAATGCTTAACCAAGTGAATGAATGGGCATTGTCAGTTCAGGTGTCTTCCTGATTTCTTCCCCCACTGCCCTCAGAAGTGACCAGGTCTAATTCTTGTGGTTCTTTTGTAGTTTACGATCTGCTTCTTCCAAAGAAGAATTTTGCTTGTGTTTGTCTCTTGGCTTTTCAACTTTTCAGAATGCTGATACTGACTATTGATATTTTACACTAAAAAGATGTTTTCCTTTTTTGCTTTGAGTGTTTTTTCCCCAGATTTTTTTTTCTTTTTTTTTATTTTTGACAGGCACAGTGGATAGTGAGAGAGAGAGAGACAGAGAGAAAAGTCTTCTTTTGCCATTGGTTCACCCTCCAATGGCCGCCGCGGCTGGCGCACTGCAGCCGGCGCACTGTGCTGATCTGAAGGCAGGAGCAGGTGCTTCTCCTGGTCTCCCATGCAGGTGCAGGGCCGAAGGACTTGGGCCATCCTCCACTGCACTCCCGGGACACAGCAGAGAGCTGGCCTGGAAGAGGGGCAACTGGAACAGAATCTGGTGCCCCGACTGGGACTAGAACCTGGTGTGCCAGCACCACAAGGTGGAGGATTAGCCTATTGAGCCACGGCACCGGCCTCCCCAGATGTTTCTATTCTAGGTTGTCAGTTCAGGCAGTTCATGTCAGTGATTCCAGGAGTTATGGAACGTTGCTTTCTTCTAGATTATTATTCGATGTCTGTGACTGTTACTTTTTTTAATTCCCCACCAGTGCTAATGCATGGCAAATATTTTAAATAACTGAGAAAAATATTGTTAGGCTGCAGGTTGTGGATAAATTCAAATTTAATATGAAGTATTCATAGAGTGGAGGGATTAACTAAATTTTCATTGATGTGTATTTTGTGATTTGTCAACACTGGGATGACCTTATTTCCTTATTCCATCTAGTAGTACTGGCATCTCTGATTATTCATTACTAAATACCAGTTTCCAGTGACTTGGTATTTCCACTTACATTTATTTGTACTGATTACCACTGATGTATCTGTAATGCCCATTCAGTTGTATGGATTTTACTTTGCACAGATTGATGCTAAGGAAACAGTGTACTATCCTTTTGGAAAACTGCCTTCAGTTTCATTGTGTAACACTTAAAATTTTTCTGACCTAAATCCTAATCAGAACTGAAGCTATCTTGTGTTTATCCTACTCATAATGTACTTATATATTTTCACTTGAAAAAAATGGAATAATTTAACACATTAGTGGTGATAAATATGTGTGTAGAAGTGAAATAAATCTCACCACCATATGCATTCTACCATGTAGTTGTTTTTGATGATGGTGGAGTCACCATGTTGTAATGCAGATCTTTCACATTCCTTTGCAAGTGAAATTTATTCTTTCTTAAATATTTATTTATTTGAATGGGAGAGTGACAGAGAAAGAGATCTTCCGTCCTCTGGTTCACTCTGCAAATGGCTGCAATGGGCTGGATTGGGCTGGGCTGGGCCTAAGCCAGGACGCTAACTCTTCATCTGGAGGATACCTGAGTTCCACTTGGGTTTCCCACATGGGTGGCAGGAGCCAGGTACTAGGACAATCATCACTGCTTTCCTAGACATTAGAAGGGAGCTCAATTGAAAACAGAGCAGCTGATATTTGATACTCTGCTGGATGCCAGCATCATAAGTAGGAAGTTAATCTTGATACAGTGCTATAATGCTGGCATCCAATTTTTTCTTTAATTAACCCAGAATCAGATCATCTTTTTATGTCTTTATATATATAAACATATATATATATGTTTTCTTACAGATCACACATAGGTTGGTCTTGGTTTTATTTTGGCTGTTTCAATCTCTTTTAATTGGTATATTTAGATAATCCACATTGAACATGATAATTTATATAATAGAATTCATTAAAATAGGATATTTTAAGCCGGTGCCGTGGCTCACTAGGCTAATCCTCCAGCCTTGCGGCACCAGGATACTGGGTTCTAGTCCTGGTTGGGGTGCCGGATTCTGTCCCGGTCATCCCTCTTCCAGGCCAGCTCTCTGCTGTGGCCAGGGAGTGCAGTGGAGGATGGATGGCCCAAGTGCTTGGGCCCTGCATCCCATGGGAGACCAGGATAAATACATGGCTCCTGCCATCAGATCAGCACAGTGCACTGGCCACAGTGCGCTGGCCAAAGCAGCCATTGGAGGGTGAACCAACGGCAAAAGGAAGACCTTTCTCTCTGTCTCTCTCTCACTGTCCACTCTGCCTGTCAAAAAAAAAAAAAAAGAATATTTTAATTGTTCTCTTTTGCTGTCATTTTTCTTAAATGTCTTATTTATTTTCATTTAATTGAAAGGCAGAGACAGAAAGACCTTCTCTCATCTGCTGGCTCACTGCCAGGGGCCTGCAGCAGCTGTGGTCTAGGACAGGCTAAATCCAGCATCCAAAAACTGCATTTGCAGCTACCATGTTTATGGGGGGGGGGGACTCAAGTACTTGAATCATCATCTCAGGATGAACATTAGCAGGAAGATGGATCAGGTAGGATAAGCAGGCTCCAGCAAGGCACTCCAGTATGCAATGATGTTATCACAAGTGGCATTTCTTACCCTCAAACCTCCCTGCAATGTCCACAGTAAGCAAATGTATTTTAATGGAGCACATTTGCAGTTGCTTGTGTTGTAAAGTTTAGAAATAGGGAAAAGAGCAGAAGGCAGCCAATTCTTTTTTTAATTTTAGCTTTATTTAGTGAAAGAAATGCATAGGAGAGTGAGAACCCTATCTACAGGAGAGAAGCAAATCTGAATTCATGCTGAGTACTAGGAACCAGCCACATGGAGGAACATCTAGGCCAGGAAGCATGGGGTGGGTGGCCCAAAGGCCACGAGCCCTGGAGGTGCAGCGCCGCAGCAAGCCCCATACTGGCAAAAGGCCAAGGAAAGGGGAGAGAAGGACACCATGTCCCAGACTTTTAATCCATTTCCAAAGGGGAGAGGTTAATTAACCTGAATGGCCAGGTGGGTACACAGGTGTGGCCAGGTAGGGGTATGAGGTCACACAAGGGCATGGTGAAAGTGTGGTCCTTTAGCTCACACACCTAATCAATTTTATTCTATATGCCTGCCTACAACATTCTCCCCTCAGAGACCCCATTCTCTTAATCCTAAGGGACGTTGAGGGGCGTAGAGTCAACATCTCTTCTGTAGCTACATCCTGTTATAAGGGGCATAGTATATTTCTTTAATTTATCCTTTTATTTCTTTTAGGCAGAGACACAGATACAGTGCTTTCATGTGCTGATTCCTCCAAGGCTCACAACTGAGTCTGGGCTAAATCAAACCAGGAGCTGTGGGGCAGGGATTGTGCTGCATCAGTTTAAGCTGCTGATTGGGAGGCTCACATCAAATACCAGGGTGTGTGTCTTGTCTACTATGATTTCTTTAAAAAAATTTATTGTTTTCCAATTAATGTGAAATGTAGTTCATCATATTTGATATCTAGAGCTATGGTGAAGTGCATTGACAAATATCAAATGATTTGTAGATGTCACAAACTCTGGTTTATTTATTTATGTTTGAGTAGGGTTATTTAATTTACCACATTTATTTTAAAAGTTGTATTTTGAGACCCATTTCAGAAACCACAGTTGATTTGGAACAAACACTGTTTTGGAAGACTTTTCCTTGTCCATGGTTACACTTTTTCCCTAATAATCTCTATGGATTGTGTATCCAAATGTGGGCATTATACAAGTTTTTCACACTTAGTATCAGCTACTTATATGCTACAAAATTTAGTGTGAATCTATTTTCCATTACTTAACATGTGAACAATTCATGCTTTTACTGCTTGCTGGTTTGTAAAATACAAATAAATCACAGTACAGTGCTCAAATAGATGTATAAGATTAAAACAGTTTTGCAGCCTGTGTTGAGGCATAACAGGTGAAGCCACTGCCTGTGACCCTGGCATCCTATATGGCACCAGTTAATGTCCTGGCTGCCCAAAGTTTGATCCAGTCCCCTGCTAATATTCTGAGAAAAAACAGGAAGATGGTCCAAGATTCTGGGCTCTTGCACTCAAAATGGAGAAGAATTGTGCAGGTATAAAATTCAACTATTTCATTTGTAATTGTTAGTAAGCATTTTGGGGTGGCCTCTGCTAGGCCATCCATATGCTGCTGGCACCTGGAATCACAAATCACCTGTTTTAGTTGTCTACTGCTTTAATTGAGGCTGCTGCCTTCAGGATTGCTTAACTCACACCAATATATTTTTTTAAAATTTATTATTTATTGTTCATTTGAAAGGCAGATTCATGGAGAGACAGATCTATCTTCTATCTAATACCTTCTGCTGGTTCACTCTTCAATGGCTTCAGTGGCTAGGACTGGACCAGGCCAAAGCCAGAAAACAGGAACTCGATCCAGGTTTCCCAGGTGGATAGAAATGGTCCAAGTAGTTGGACTGTCTTCAGATATTTTCCCAGGTGCATTAGTAGGGAACTGGATTGGAAGTGGAGCAACTCTGGCTTTAACCAGTGGTGGTAGAGACCCATTGTTCCATATCACATACCGATAATTTTTTACTGATTTGTTTATTTGAAAGGCAGAGAAAAAGGTCCTCCATCTGCTGGATCACTCTGCAAAAGCCCACAATAGCGAGCATTATATCTATGAAAGCCAGGAGGTAGGAACTCTATGTGGGTTTCCCATTCAGATGGCAGGAAACCAAGTTTTTGAGCCATGATCTGTTGACTCAAGAGAACACTTTTGAGCTGGTGCTGTGCTGTAATAGGAAAGTCACAACCTGCAGTGCCAGCATCCCATGGGCACTGGTTCCAGTCCTGGCTGCCCACTTCCAATCCAGCTCTCTGCTATGGCCTGAGAAAGCAGTAGAAGATAGCTCAAGTCCTTGGGCCCCTGCACCTTCATGGGAGACCTGGAAGAAGCTCCTGGCTCCTGATTTTGGATCTGTTTAGCTCTGGCCATTATGGCCATTCGGGGAGTGAACCAGCAGGTGGAAGGACCTCTTGCTCTCTGCCTCTGCCTCTCTGTAGCTCTGCCTTTCAAACAAATAAATAAGCATTTTTTAAACAAACAAACAAAAAAACCACTTGCAGGAGGTGTGGAATAATGAGGACACAAACCAGGCACTCTGTGATGTGGTATGTCCAGAGAAGTAGGTAAGCCTACTGCATCATAATGCCTACCCTTCCAATGTCTGACTTGCACAGCCTTGACCTAGGCCCCAGGTGTCCTTCAGGTAAGTCTCAGGATTCTCCACGTGATTACTGTACAAGAAGGCACACTCCCAACTGTAAAATACTTTACAAACTATGTTGTATCATATTTATGGTCATCTCATGGGCTAGAACAAGTGAACTGGAAAATGCCAGGGGTTTGTGTGGTGGAGAATTATGTTATGATTTGGATACAGAGGAGTGTCACATGGAAGTTACAGAAAGCTGTGCTAGTAGATTCTGTCAATTTTTTCTATACATATAGTTGTGGCCAAAAACTAATTTTCAAGCTGGATACTTTTAAGGAATTTGAGATACATAAAAGCAAGAGATGTTTTAAGTACTGCCTGAGTAATTTTCTGTGTATATAGATTCTAGTGAAATCATCATTTTTCTGGTGTACTGCTACTTATTTGAACAATTGTGATGAACATTATAAATTATTTCTATACGATTTATTTATTTGAAAGGCTGAGTTACAGAGACAGAGGAAGAGAGAGAGAGGCCTTCCAGCCTGCTGGTTCACTCCCACATGTCCTCAATGGCTGGGGTGGGCTGATCTGAAGCCAGTAGCCTGGAGCTTCTTACAGGTCTGCCATGTGAGTGCAAGGGGCCCAAGGACTTAGGTGTTCATCCACTGCTTTCCCAGTCCATAGCAGAGAGCTAGACCAGAAGTAGAGCAGCTGGCACTCCAATTGGTGCCCACATGGATGCCCACACTGTAGGAGATGGCTTTACCCACCACTCCACAGTGACAGGCCTGACAAGGATTTTTTTTTTACAGAATTGGTAATAAATTAATATTTTGGTTATCTAACAATAGTTTATGTTTAATCAAAGTGATTGGTAGACTTGTGTGTGCTCTTTTGGCATCTTTTCTGTTTTTCCCATGTGTAAAGATTATATTCCCCCACAGGGAGGCTACTGCATTTTTGTCACTCAGCCAATATTTCTCTTGCAGATAGATTCTAGAGACATCTACATGTGGCCAAGACCAACAAAAATAAATATATTGCTGGTAGGTTATTTATTCCTCAGCTTCTTTCACATTGTATGTTAAGAGTTTTATGAGATTTTTTATGAGATTTTTTAAATAAATTGGAAAAGCATAAAGAAATAATTCAGAATCAGGATTCATATAAGATAAAGTAAGAATGGTTTGCAAGATTTAAAGCCATCTGAGCTGAATTCACATTGGTCTCAATTTTTTTTTATTGCCATAGCCACAAGACTTTTTACATGGTTTGAATTCAAACTTTGGCAAGAATTTGCTACATCAGAAAAAATTAAAAAGCTAATATTTTGAATTGTTAAAGTAGAGTGTCTAAAAGCTTTTGGAGGCTGAACTTGCTTCATGGATTAGATCAGAAAATGTGTAGGATAGAATCTATTGCAGGTCCTTAAATAACTCTCCATAGTTTTATCACAGTGAGTCTACAAATGCAGGATTACTTCAGACTCCACAAAGGTATGTTTCAGGCAAATTATTCCATTTATCAATGGCATAAACTATAGTCAGAGCCCAAGACAATTCTCTAGTCTTTGACTTGAATCTTTTGCCATCTTTTTTTTCTTCTTTGACAGGCAGAGTGGGCAGTGAGAGAGAGACAGAAGAAAGGTCTTCCTTTACCATTGGTTCACCCTCCAATGGCTGCTGCGGCTGGTGTGCTACAGCGGTGCACTGCGCTGATCTGAAAGCAGGAGCAGGTGCTTCTCCTGGTTCTCCCATGCAGGTGCAGGGCCGAAGGACTTGGGCCATCCTCCACTGCACTCCTGGGCCACAGCAGAGAGCTGGCCTGGAAGAGGAGCAACCAGGACAGAATCTGGTGCTCTGACCAGGACTAGAACCCGGTGTGCCAGTGCCACAGGCAGAGGATTAGCCTAGTGAGCCATGGTGCTGGCCAATCTTTTGCCATCTTAAAGTATTTATATACTTGAGAGAGAATGAGAAGTAGATGGAAATATATAGAGACTTTTTTTTAAAAAAGATTTTATTTATTTATTTGGTGGGCATAGTTACAGGGAGAGGAGAGACATACAAATTTTTTATCCACTGGTTCAGTCTCCAAATGGCGAAAATAGTTGGAGATGGGCTGATCCAAAGCTAAGAGCCAGGAGCTTCCTCTGGGTCTCCCAGGTGGGTTTAGGGGCCCAAGGACTTGGGCTATCTTCCACTGCTTTCCCAGGACAAAACCGGGGAGCTGGATCCAAAGAAGAGGATCTGGGGCCCTTGCTGTGGCATGGTAGGTTAAGCCTCTGCCTGTGGTGTCGGCATCCCATATAGGCACTGATTTGAGTCCCAGTTGGTCCACTTCCAATCCAGCCCTTTGCTATGGCTTGGGAAAGTAGTTGAGGATGGCCCAACTCCTTGGGCCCCTGCACCCAAGTGGGAGACCTGGAGGATGCTCCTGACTTCTGGCTTTGTATCAGCCCAGCTCCAGCTATTGCAGCCATTTTGGGAGTGAACCAGCAGATGGAAGACCTTTCTCTCTGTCTCTGGCTCTCTCTCTGCAACTCTACTTTCAAATAAATATTTAAAAAGAAGAAGAGCATCTGGAACACAAATTGGTGCCCATATGGGATGCTGGCACTATGGGTGGAGGCTTAGCCTACTCTGTGTTATGGAATGAGAGAGAAAGGGAGAGAGAGAGACAGACACCAACACCTTCAATCCATTAATTCACACCCACAACAACCAGGACTGAGACAGGGTCATAACAGAGAGCCAGGAATATAGTCCTAGCCTCTCACTTAAGTTGCAGAAGCTTAATTTCTTGCAGTTGTCCACACTCACTTCTAGTGTCTAAATTGACAAAAATTGTGACATTGCAGTATATTGGGTTAAACAGCTGCCTGGGATTCGAGTAACCCTATGGGTTCTGGTTTGTTTCTTGGTTGCACCACTTCCAATCCAGCTCCCTGCTTAAGGCACCTGTGAAAGCAGCAGAAGATGGTCCAAGTGCTTGGGCACCTGCCACCCATGTGTGAGACCCACATGAAGCTTCTGGCTCCTGGTTTCAGTCTGGCCCAGCTCTGGCTGTTACAGCCACTTGGGGAGTAGAGCAACAGATGGAAGATCTTCCACTGCCTTCTGCTCTCTCTCCAAAACTGTCTTTTAAAACAAAAAAGTAAACAATTAAAAATAAATAGGATGAAAAATGCATCATTCATTCTTTGCTTTTAAATATTGCTACCAAGTAGCCTTGACCCAAATCATCAAAATGAAAATTTTTCTGGAATGTTCCTTTCATATCTTTTTTCCTTAGAAACCTTTTACTTAAGGAAGACAAACTTCATGCATTTCATAATTACAACTTTAAGAACATAGTGACTCTTCCCACCATAGCCACCCTCCCACCTACACTCTTCTTCCTCTCCTATTCTCATTCCTATTTTTTACTAAGATCTATTTTCAATTAACTTTATACACATATGAGTAACTCTATACTAAGTAAAGAGTTCAACAGATAATGTGAAAAAATTGTTCCTCAATAGTCAAGACAAGGGCTGTTCAAAGTCATTGCTTCTCAAAGTGTCAATTTCATTTCTATAGGTTACCTTTAGGTGTGCTATTAGTTGTCACAGATCAGGGAGAATATATGGTTTTTGTCCTTTTTAGACTGGCTTATTCACTAAGTACGATGTTTTGAGGTATCTCCATACTGTCTTCCATGGTGTCTTTACCAGTTTACATTCCCACAAACAGTGGATCAGGGTTAAGTTTTCCACACATCTTTGCCAGCATTTGTTTGCCATTCTAACGGGGGTGAGGTAAAACTACCTTGTGGTTTTGATTTACATTTCTCTGTTGAATGGTGATCCTGAGCATTTTCTCATGTATCTGTTGGCTATTTGGACTTCTTTTTAAAAATATCTATTTAAGTCCTTTGCCCATTTCTGCACTGGGTTTTTCGTTTTGCTGTTGTGGAATTTCTTGAGCCTTTATGTATTCTGGTTATTAATTTTTTATCAGTTGCATAGTTTGCAAATAATTTCTCCCAGTTTGTCAGTTGGCTCTTCACTTTGCTAACTTTTTTTTTTTTTTTTTTTTTTTTTTGCAGTACAGAAGCTTCTCAATTTGATGTGATCCCATTTGTCAATTTTGGCTTTGATTGCTTGTGCCTCTGCGGTCTTTTCCAAGTAGTCTTTTTCTATGCCAATGTCTTGCAGGGTTACCCCAACTTTCTCTAATAATTTGGTATCAGGTTGTTATTTAAATCTTTTATCCATTTTAATCCATTTTGAGTGTATTTTTGTAAGGTGTAAAGTAGGAGTATTGCTTCATACTTCTGCATGAGGAGATCCAGTTTTCCCGGCACTATGTGTTTAACAGATTATCCTTCTCCAGGATTGATTTCTGCATTTATATTCTGTTCCATTGGTGTATCCATCTGTTTTTGTACAAGTACTAGGCTATTTTGATTACTGCACTATAGTATATCTTGAAACCTGGGGGCAGTGCTGTGATACAGTGGGTGATTCTCCACCTGCAGTGCTGGAATCCCATGTGGGCACCAGTTGAAGTACTGGCTGCTCCTCTTCCAATGCAGCTCTCTGCTATAGCCTGGGAGTGCAACAGAGGATGGCCCAAGTGCTTGAGCTCCTTCCTGTGTTGCATAGGAGACTTAGAAGAACCTCCAGGTTCCTGACTTCGGATTGGCCCAGCTCAGGCCATTGTGAACAATTGGGTAGTAAAGCTGTGGATGGAAGACCTCTCTCCCTCCCTCTCACTGTCTGCAACTCTACCTCTCAAATAAGCCTCCAGCTTTGTTTTTGTTGTATAAGATTGCTTTAGCTATTCAGGGACTCTTGTGTTTCCATATGAATTTCAGCATCCTTTTCTATATCTGAGAAGAATGTCCTTGGTATATTGAATCAGTACATTGAATCTTGGTGTATTCAATCTTTAAATTGTTTTCAGTAGTTTGGAGTTTGATATTGATTCTAACTCCATGAACATGAACAATTTTTCATTTTTTGTCTCATTTCTTTCTTTAATATTTTGTATTTCTCATCACAGAGATCTTTGACATTGCTTAAATTTACTCCAAGGTAGTTGTTCTTGTATCTATTGTGAATGGGATTGATGTTAGAAGTTCTATGTCAGCTGTGGTATTGTCTGTGTATACAGAGGCTATTGATGTCTGAGTGTTATCTTATATCCTGACCTAATCCAATCTGATATATAAAAGATTATTTATTTATTTATTTGAGAGGTAGAGTTATAGACAGTGAGAGGGAGAGACAGAGAAAGGTCTTCCTTCCATTGGTTCACTTCCCAAATGGCCACAATGGCTGAAGCTGTGCTGATCTGAAGCCAGGAACCAGGAGCTTTTTCCCAGCCTCCCATGTGGGTGCAGGAGCCCAAGCATTTTGGCCATCTTCTACTGCTTTTCCAGGCCATAGCAGAAACTGGATTGGAAGAGGAGCACCTGGAACTGGAACCGGCATCCATATGGGATGCCAGCACCGCAGGCATGGAGGATTAACCTACTGTGCCACGGTGCTGGCCCTCCAATCTGATTTTGAAAGAGAGTCCCTAGAGATGGGAGGAGAAACAGACTAGATCCCAAAGGTTATGTTGGAAATTTGATGATCTTGAAACAAGAGAATGTCCTCAGAAGAAATCAAAACTTCAGGCAGCATAGTGTCAAACTATGAGAAACTAAATTTCTGTTATTTTTTTCATCTAGTGTTTAGTACAATATTATGGAATTTTTCTCACTCAAAATTATAAATCATATACCTTATGTACTTGTCAAGTTTTTGTACATTTGATGTGATCTTTGGATTCCATTTTAGCTTTTCTCTGTATTTTTTAAGATTTATTTATTTCTGTGTCTTGATCCAAAGCTTTATTTTTTTAAAGATTTATTTTACTTATTTGAAAGACAGAGTTACAGAGAGAAGAGAGGCAGAGAGAGAGGTCTTCCATCCGATGGTTCACTCCCCAGATGGCTGCAATGGCCAGAGCTGTACCATTCCGAAACTGGGAGCCAGGAGCTTCTTCTGGGTATCCCACGTGGCTGCAGGGGCCCAAGGACTTGGGCCATCCTCTACTGCTTTCCCAGGCCATAATGGAGATCTGGATCAGAAGAGGTCAAGTCAGGACTAGAAACTGCACCCATATGGGATGCTGGCACTTCAGGCCAAGGCATTAACCTGCTGCGCCACACGCCGGTCCCTTTTCTCTGTATTTGTGTTAAGCACTATTTATTAAAAATTCCAGAGATATAACCCATGGACTTGCAGTGCCATCTATTTATGAGTGCCATCTACTACAGCTAATGGTCTTTTAATGGCTTTCTCAGGTAACCAATGACTCAGTTTCTTCAAGTCTTCCACATTTAAGCTGTGCATCAGCTGTCATTTTGACCTCAGGCTGATAGAATGGTGTCTACTGATGGTCATTGTGGCTGGATGATAAAGAACAGTGATTTTCTGTGATTTTCTCAAATGTGACAAAATTTTCTTCCACTGTATCTGGAAAGAGTCATGTGGCCTTGTCTGCATTTTTAAGTATGGGAATGGGGGTGTAAAATCCTCTCACAGGAAACAACACTGAAGATGAGTGGTCCCTGGTCATCACATGCTGGAATGTCTCTTCTCCCACAGGTATCTTTTTTTATAAAATTTATTTGACAGAGTTACATACAGTGAGAGGGAGAGTCACAGAGAAAGGTCTTCCTTCTGTTGGTTCACCTCCCAAAATGCTGGCATGGCTGCACTACACTGATCTGAAGCCAGGGGCCAGGTGCTTCCTCCTGGTCTCCCATGCAGGTGCAGGTGCCCAAGCACTTGCGCCATCCTCCACTGCCTTCCCAGGCCACAGCAGAGAGCTGGACTGGAAGAGGAGTAACCAGGAGTAGAACCCGGTGCCCATATGGGATGCCAGCACTGCAGGCAGAGGATTAATCAAGTGAGCCGCAGCGCAGGCCATCCCACAGGTATCAACTTTTTCTCAACCAGAGACCGCAATATCCCATGTTTCCATCATTTTACCTAAAATCCAGAATCTAGAATAATGCCAGGCACCCGTGTTATCTCCAGATGTAGCCTCCCTTGATACATAGACCTGTTAACAGAGGAAACAAGTTATGTGCCTTCTGTGTACCCCATGTAGAGGGTGAAAGCATGAGTAAGATAAACCAGAGTAACTCTTCAGGTTTACAGATTCCTTTATGATCTGAAAAAAGTAGGGAGTCACGAAGGGTGGGGGGATCTTCATAGCAATTTGTCTATCATGGAGGCAGAAATAGAGAGTGACCTAAGTGCACATGGCACACACTCTGCTGAGGCCTTGATTATGCACCCTCACTGCACAAGTCCCTGCCCTCTGCAGTATCCTTCCTCTGCAATCCACATTGCAGCCTTTGGCAAAGACTCTCGGGGTTAGATTGCTTAGGTGTTGTATTTCCTATCTATCACCCTTGGCCTCTATGGCTTAAACCCTCAGTACTTTTTCTCAGTTGGATTGCTTCTGACAATAAAAAGTGGACTTAGATATATGTTTTCATAGTTTTAGATGGAGTCAACCTTTTTTTTTTTTTTTTTTTTTTTTTTTTTGACAGGCAGAGTGGACAGTGAGAGGGAGAGACAGAGAGAAAGGTCTCCCTTTTTCTGTTGGTTCACCTTCCAATAGCCACTGCGGCCAGTGTGCTGCGGCTGGTGCATCACACTGATCTGAAGCCAGGAGCCAGGTGCTTCTCCCATGAGGGTGCAGGGCCGAAGGACTTGGGCCATCCTCCACTGCACTCCCAGACCACAGCAGAGAGCTGGACTGGAAGAGGAACAACTGGGACAGAATCCAGTGCTCTGACCGGGACTAGAGCCCCGTGTGCCGGCGCCACAGGTGGAGGATTAGCCTAGTGAGCCATGGCGCCAGCCTGGAGTCAACTTTTTGAGATGATGTTTTAATCTTTCATTTTATGAATTTTTAAACATGTTTTATATATGCTTCATTCTCCTTTCCTTTGGCCAATTTTGAGCATTTGAAAGCATTTGAGGTCTATTTAACTGTTCACATATTTAACAGTGTTGTCATGGCCATAACCTTCAGGTATCAGTTACTTTGGAGATGACAGATTGCTATCATTTCCCAAAGGATTGCTTGTACTTTTTAGAAGAACTGGAGGAGGCAACGTTAAACAATAATATATAAAATAAGAATACTCTCTGACTCCCACTATTGTCCAGCAGTGGTCATGTTTCATCTTTTTTTTTTAAATGGTTTATTAATGTGAAAGGAAGAGTTACAGAAAGAGGAGAGAGAGAGAGGTTGTGTCTGCTGATTCGTTACACAAATGGCTGCATTGACTGCTGCTATGACAGTCTGAAGCCAGGATCCTGGAGCTTCTTCCATATCCTACATGGGTGGAAGAGACCACACCCTTGGGTTATCTTCTGCTTTCTGATACCTTAGCAGGGAGCTGGGTGGGAAGTGGTACCGAGAGGTTTTGTATTGGTATCTATATGGGATTCCAGTATTACCAGCAGTGGATTAACCTGCTACACCACAATGTTGGTTCAATAAAAAAAGAATACTGGAGCCAACCAAATAGGTATTCTCAGGAGATTCTTTGAGTCTTGCAGGTATAAATTGTGTGCAAATAAATTTTTTTCAAGACTTAAAAGTTAAGCTATAGCCTGTAGTGCCAGCATCCCATATGGGTACCAGTCTCACTTCTTTGCATCATATTCTTATTGATTTTTTTTCCCAATTTCAACTTCCTGTGCCAGTGTCCACACACTTTCAACCCTCTGCTTAACCAATTAGTACCGAATTGTGTTCATGCTTCCTATCTTTTTCTTCACTATTCTGACTACTCTATGTCTAATGGTTGGTCATCATGTCTTCTCCAATTCTTCCTCTCTATTTCTTCATTCTCCTTCCAGATGTTGACTCTTAAATTCACATCTTCTGGGGGCTGGTGATGTTGCATCAGCATCCAATATGGGTACCTGTTTGTGTCCTGACTGCTCATCTTCTTATCCAGCTCTCTGCTTGTGGCCTGGGAACATAGTGTAAGATGGCCCAAGTGCTTGGGCTCTGGCACCCATGTGGGAGACTTTGAAGGAGCTCCTGGCTTCTGGCTTCTGAGTGACTCAACTCTGGCCATTGAGGCCATTTGGGGAGTGAACCAGCAGATGGAAGAAATATTTTCTATCCCTCCCTCTCTGTGTCTGTAGTTGTACCTCTCAAATCAATAAAATCTTTTTTTAAATCTTGTCCCTTTGATCTGTTATTTTTAAATATTTATTTTTATTTATTTGAAAGATAGAGTTACAGATAGAGGTAGAGCTAGAGAGAGAGAAGTCTTCCTTCCACTGGTTCACTCCCCAAATGTCTGCAACAGCCAGAGTTGAGCTGAACCAAAGCCAGGAGCCAAGAGTTTCTTTTGGGTCTCCTACATGGGTACAGGGGCCCGTGTACTTGGGCCATCTTCCACTGTTTTTCTAGGCCACAGCAGAAGCTGGGTTGGCAATAAAGCAGCCAGGACTCGAACTGTTGCCTGTATGGGATGATGGCACTGCAGGCTGGGGCTTTAACCCACTGTACCACAGTGCCAGCTCCAATAAAATCTTTAAAAAAATGCAAATCTTCTAAGATAACTTTCCAAGTTTATGTGCCCTGTTTGAGGACATAGCCAATATCTTTCATGTAAACAATAGCAATTACATTGATTTTTGGAAGAGATGTGAAAAAGCTTATAAGTATACTTTTGTTTATAAATAAATTTCAAAAACAGTGATTCATTCAGTTAACACTTCTTTGAACATGTTTACTGTTTTTTTCTCCTCACAGTCCAGGACCACTCACCTAGATATGTTACATTTGTAGTTCCCATCACTTGGTCTAGTTTTTTCTTTGCCTTTTTGCCAGTGTGTTTTGCAATTTTATATTCATGAGGACACATTGATGAAGAGATATGTCTTTTCTGTGAAGTGTAACCTGATGATCCAAAAAAGTTTTATTTACTACTTCTTTATTTGAAAGAGAGTTACAGAGAGAAAGAGATAGATCTTCCATCTGCTGGTTGTCCCGAAATTGCTACAATGGCTGGGGTTGGGCCAATACCTGCCCAGAACTTCTTCCAAGTTTCCTAGGTGGATGGCAGAAGTCTTAGTACTTCAGCCATCTTCCACTGGTTTTCCACATTTATTCACAGGGAGTGGATAAGAAATGGAGTAGGTGTGGCTCATATTGGTGCTCATGTGGGATGCTGTGGGTTCGGATGGTAGCTTAATCTGCTGTGGCACTATACCATCCCCTAAAATTTATTGTTTAATAGATTTATTTAGAAAGAGAGAGACCTTCCATCATTAGTTCACTCCCCAGATGGTGGCAACAGCTGGAACTGGAACAGATGGGAGCCAGGAACTTCTCTCAGGTCTCCCAGGTGGCTACAGGGGCCCAAGGACATGGGCCATCTTATGCTTTCCCAGGTGCATTAGCAGAGTGCTGGAAAGGAAGTTAGCAACTGGATCTTAAACAGGTTCCCTGTGGTTTTACACACTGCCACAAGGCCATCCTTCCAAAGTTTTTTTAAAACATTGTTAGCCTGATCTACTTTGAATGGACGTCTCACTTGATCTAACACTCTTCAGTTACACATTACACTTATGTCTACAGATTACACTGTGATCTTTTACTGAATAAGGGAAACTCTATTATAGTAAATTTCATAATTGAAAGTTAGTATGAAATTGATATGTTTTGATTATCATTTTCCTTTCTGTTGGCCTATAGCATACAAAAATTAGCTTCATCTTATATAAGAGGCAAGATAGACATAAAGAGAAGAATGAACTCCCTGACATCCTTCTTTGTGACCCAGAGCTGATACCGTTCGGAGAAATGCACTGTTACAGGTGTGGACTGTGGACTTCACCCTGGAGGAGCAGCAGGACCTGGACACTTTAAAAGGTTTAATATTATCTGTACCCCTTGTGTAGCCCCTGCATTTCCAGGCAAAAGAAGGAAATCATTTTGCTGATGGAGCAACTGTGTTCAGCATTAAGCAGCACAATCCTTTGTCTCTTACCCAGGTGAAAATACAAAATCCCCAGGATATTCAAACATGCCGCCTTCTTACAATTGGTATGTAGTAAACCCTGCAGGGTTTTTCACCCTGCCAGCCAACAGACAAGAGCATGTGGGTGGTAAATCTGAACTGGCTCTTCCTGGGCTTGGCTTACATGCACAGCAGGGGTTGTATGACTGTCCCAGAGGCATCAGCAGAGTCCAAAGAGGATCCATATGTGAGTATGGTGGTTGAGAGCAAGGTTCAGAGATTGTAGGGTCTTGGTGGGGAGACATCCTTGCCACATGCTAGCATCACAGCACTGCTTCTTTCCTACATGAAGATGGGGAGAATTACCCCTTCCTGTCTCCACCTTCTCCATTTTACTGTTTATTTCTTCTGCTTTCTTGTTTTGCCTTGAGTTTTCTCTGAAAATTTTTTTAGCTTCAAATATTAGAATTATAGCTATGCCACAGTGCTGGCCCCTCAAGTTTTATCCTGCTATGGAATGCATGGAACATTTCTCTTTGTATTAATACAAAAAAGTTTTTAAAAATGTTTTAATCCTATACAGATTATATTGGCTCAATAGGCTAATCCTCTGCCTAGTGGCGCTGGCACACCGGGTTCTAGTCCCAGTGGGGGTGCTGGATTCTGTCCCGGTTGCCCCTCTTCCAGGCCAGCTCTCTGCTGTGGCCAGGGAGTGCAGTGGAGGATGGCCCAAGTGCCTGGGCCCTGCACCCCATGGGAGACCAGGAGAAACACCTGGCTCCTGCCTTCCGATCAGTGTGGTGCGCCAGCCGCAGTGCGCTGCCCACGGTGGCCATTGGAGGGTGAACCAATGGCAAAGGAAGACCTTTCTTTCTGTCTCTGTCTCTCTCTCAGTGTCCACTCTGTCTGTCCAAAAAAAAAAAGAAAAAAAGGAATCCTAATGGAGACTGGGAATGGGAGAGGGAGGAGGAAAAGGAGGGAGTAGGGGTGGGAGAGTGGATATGGTGGGACGAATCACTCTGTTCTTAAAGATGTACTCATGAAATTTATGTTCACTAAATAAAATGTTTCTAAAAAAAAAAAAAGATATGCTAGTGCCATTGCTCCCCAGTCTTCCCTTAAGCTAATAAAAATGACTAAATAAAGAATGAATCCTTAAGACAAAAAAAGACACGTTGAATATAATTTGCCAGTGCCTTATGTGCAAAATCACATTCTCCAGTTCTATGTAAAGAACGAAGATGAATAGCCAGTGTTCATACAAATAGAACAGAGATTGGACTAGTTTCAGTGAAAGTTTGGGAAACTCACAGATTTCTGTATATCTCTTCCATGTTTCTTGAACCCAAGGAAGTCCCAATGTATGTCTTTAATCTTTATCCCAATAAAAACTCAGACCATCAACATCCCTCTTTCCTAACTCAAGTCAGTGTGAGTGTTCACCCTTACCTCATCTGAGACATAAGGCCTGGGTGAGGACTTTGAGCTTAACCTTCAGTTCTAAGATACCTGGTAACAGTGCTGTTGCTTCCAAAGATTCTGGAGGAGTTACTGCTGTGTGTTCAATGGTTGGATCTCCTTGTCTTCGAAGCTGTTTCCATCCTTTATTGTTTAAGGTCTGTAGTCTTTAAAGCAAAGGGCCTTTCTTCCATGGGACATTTTGGTGTCTATAACATCATTCACAGGACATACAAAATTATGAACTTAAGATTTATTTTGTATAGATTGAATATCAAGTCCCATTTGTAGTTGCCTTGGCAACTTAAGATTTAGTGGGTATAGATTGAATATTGAATCCCATTTGTAGTTGCCTTGGCAGGGTCAGACCAAATGATTCTATGGGCTTTATGTGGCTAGCGTATGGAAGTCCTCCACCCCTGCTAAAGGGCCATTAGAATAGCCTGCTGGGACACATTTGTTCAATACATGTAATCATTCACATTTATTGTCTCTAGAGGGGCCCGTGGACAATGTGGCTGGATTAAAAAAAAAAAGGCTTTTTTTCTTTTAGTAATATTTCAGTTATCAAATAGTATGGCTTAGACTCTCCCAAATAGCCAGAAATGAGCCAGTAGCCTTCCTTTTTCCAGAAGTGAGCCCAGTATGCACAGTGAGCAGTATGCACAGTGGTAAAAAACTGCCCAAATGTGAACTGTTGTGTCTAATTCAGTGAACAAGTGGCTGTAATTCTTAGACATGTCAGCTAGCCTTGGGTGACCAAGTCCACATCTTACAGTATCAGCCCCTTTATGTTTTTTAGGATTTTATTTTATTTGAGAGGTAGAGTTACAGACAGTGAGAGGAAAAGACAGGGAGAAAGGTCTTCCTTCCTTTGGTTCACTCCCCAAATGGCTGCAACAGCTGGAGCTGTGCCAATCGGAAGCTTCTTCCCAGTCTCCCCATGGGTTCAGGGGCCCAAGGACTTGGGCCATCTTCTACTGCTTTCCCGGTCCATAGCAGAGAGGTAGATTGGAAGAGGAGCAGCTGGGACTAGAACTGGCACCCATATGGGATGCCAGTGCCACAGGCAGAGGATTAACCTACTGTGCCATGGGGCTGGCCCCAGTTTCTTTGTTTTTGCTGGAGCTGCAAGTTGGGGCTTTAACCCACTCTGCCATAGCACTGGCCCCTCCATTACCAGTTTATGGGATTTTTAGTTTTTTTCTTTCCCTCAAAGTTCTGGAAATTCTTGTCTAAAGTAGCCAAAAATCTGTATTCAGGAACATTTTCTGTGAAATTGATTACAAGTGTTTTTAGAGAAGAATACAAAACTATGGATGACAGAAGTCTTTAAATAAACATAGTTAAAATTATGAAATTGATTAATTGACATGAGCCATTTATGTTCATTCCATACAGGATGTTACAAAGCAACTAAAGAGGGACCAGCATTGTGGCATTGCAGGTGAAGCTACTGCCTATGATGCTGGCATCCCCTATGGGTTACACTTCGAGTCCTGGTTGCTCCACTCTGATCCTGCTCCCTGCTAATGCACCTGGGAAAGCAGCAGAGGATGGCGAAGTGTCTGCTCCTGTACCCATTTGGGAGAACTTGAATTATGACCATATTGCCTGGCTTCAGCCTGGTTTAGCTTTGGTCATTGTGGCCCTTTGGAGTGTGAACCAACAGAAGAAATCCAATCTCTCTCTCTCTCTCTCTCCTCCTTTCTGGAATTCTGCCTTCAAATAAGTAGATACATCTTTAAAAAGGAAAGAAAGAAACTGAAGGATTTTACATACCTATTGTCCCTTTTAGGACTCTGGGTCTCCTTTTTATGAAGATAACCATCATGACTACTAACAACGCAACAGAACTATCAGATTTTAAAATTTATATTACTTCTAGGACATTTATATCAATGACATATCTATATAAATATAATTTAACATTGAGCATAATTTCATGACAGTACTTTCCTAAAATGCAAGTTGCATAATAAACTATTACCTCTAAAAGATAAGACATATATCCTTTGACACATCAAGGGTTCCTGCTGAAAATCTCAAAGTGAAAAAATTTAGAACCTTGATTCTGGGAAAGTCTCAGGATGTCAAAATGGCTTAAAATATTTGGTCAAAATAGGCTCACATAATTTTGAAATAGCATCCATCTGCTTAGTGTGATTCAACCAGTTCTAAACCAGATTTACTCATAAATCTGATTTTATAAAACAAGTATATATACAACTTTTAACTCTTATGACTCAGCTTTTTCCAAACAATTCTGATTGTTTGCTAAGGCACAACATTTGTGATTTTTGGTCAGTCACCAAAGTGGAAGTAAAAACCTTGAATAGAAAAATAGCATATAAAATAACCCATTATTAGAAAAATTTAAGAGTCACAACCAGGAAGGAGAAGAAAGATTAAGGAAGCTGATTAGAAAATTCACAGATGATTAAAAACTAAGCAAGAATTCTTAAAAGGAGATGCTGCAGTTTTTGTTTTTTTTTTTTTTTTTTTAAACAAAAGATTCCATGACCAGCACTATGGCATAGCACGTGAAGCTGCCAACTGCAGTGCCAGCATCTCATTTGGTCACTAATTTGAGTCACAGCTGCTCCACTTCTGATTCAGCTCTCTGCTATGGCTGGGAAAGCAGTAGAAGATGGCCCATGTCCTTGGGCCCCTGCATTCATGTTGGAGACCTGGAGGAAGATGCTACCTCTTGGCTCCTGGCTCAGCTCTGGCAATTGAGGACATCTGGGGAGTGAACAAGAGGATGGAAGATCTCTCTCTCTCCTCTGCCTCTCTGGAACTCTGCCTTTCAAATAAATCAATAAATCTTTAAAAAAAAATATTCCAAAATTAAAGTCCAAGGCTATTTCCAGATATTTTCTAACATATCAATATGCACATAAACAGCTTGTTTAAAAAAGCATCAAATTCTAATTTTATTTCAGTGTACCTTTGATATTCATTCCAAAATTTTAGAAAACAATGTAAATTTTTAAAATTATAATTGGGCAGGCATTGTGGTATAGTAGATTAGGCAGCTGTCTGGGATGCCTCATCCCAGAGTGCTGGTTTGAATAATGACTGTTCCACATTTGTAAAAAAGAGTTTATTTATTTATTTATTTATTTGAAAGGCAGAATTATATATATATATAGAGAGATTCCAAAAGACAGACATTTTCATCTAGTAGTTCACTCCCCAAATGGCCACAGAATCTGGGGCTAGGCCAGGCCAAAGTCAGAAGCTTCTTCCAGGTCTCCTAATGTGCTTGGAGGGATTCAAGCACTTGGGTCATCTTTTGTTGCTTTTCCAGGTGCATTAGCAGGGAGCTGGATTGGAAATGGAATAGCTGGGACATGAACTGCTGCTCAAATGGCTGCCACCATCTCAGCACTCTGCCACAGTGCTAGACCCTGCTCCACTTCTGATGAAGCTCACTGTTAATGTGCCTGGGAAAGCAGTGAGGATGGCCCTAGTGCTAGGCTCCTTCACCCATGTGGGAGATTTGAATGAAGCTTTTGGTTTTCACACACACACAATTTTTCTTACAAGATTTTTCCTTTTCAAACCTTTTTTTTAAAGATTTATTTTATTTATTTGAAAGTCAGAGTTAGAGAGAAGTAGAGACAGAGAGGTCTTCCATCTGCTTGTTCACTTCCCAGATGGCTGCATTGACCATTGCTGTGCCAATTCAGAGCCAGAAGCCTCCTCCAGGTCTCCCACACAGGTGCAGGGACCCAAGGACTTGGGCCATCTTCCATTGATATCCCAGGCCATAGCAGAGAGCTGGATCAGAGGACGAGCAGCCAGGACTAGAACTGGCACCCATATGGGACGCCAGTGCTTCAGGCCAAGGCATTAACTCACTGCGCCATAGTGCTGGCCACTTCAAACCTTCTGTTATGTGCTCATGCTTTCTGCAACTTACTTAAACCTTCAGTTTTTGTCCTATTTTTGTCCTTACATTCTAGAGTATTGTAGCCTTTCTACCTTATGACAAAAATTTACATTTTGAAATAATTCATTTTTTAAAGGTTTATTTATTTGTTTGAAAGTCAGAGTTACACAGAGAGAGAACGTGCATTTCCATCTGCTGGATCACTCTCCATATGCCCACAGCAGCCAGCACTGGGTCAGAGTGCTTCATCTGAGTCTTCCAAATGGGTGCAGGGACCTAAGCACCTGGGCCACCTGCTGCTTTTCACCAGCCACTAGCAGGGAGCTGGGTAAGAAGTGTGGAGCTGGGACTTGAACTGGTGTCCATATGAAATAATGGAATTACAGGAGGCTGCTTTAGCTGCTATGCCATTATTTTGGCCCCAAAATAAGTTTTTTTATTTTTAAAGATTCTATTTATTTATTTGAAAGGTACAGTTACAGACAATGAAAGGGAGGGAGCGAAAGAGATAAAGGTCTTCCATCTTGCTTCAGCCCCCAAATGGCCGCAATGGCTGGAGGGGTGCCAACCTGAAGCCTGGAGCCAGGAGCTTCCTCCCAGTCTCCCACATGGGTGCAGGGGCTGAAGGACTTGGGCCATCTTCTACTGTTTTCCCAGGCCATAGCAGAAGCTCTCTGGATTGGAAGAGGAGCAGCTGGGACTAGAACTGGCACCCATGTGAGATGCTGGCACCGCAGGTGAAGGATTAAGCTACTATGCCACAGCGTCAGCCCCATCACCATCTCAAAATAATTCTTTAAAAACTTCTAAATTAGCATAATTTTCAAAATGAAACAGGATAAAAATTTCATACTTACTTTTAAACCATCTAGAATTACTTTTAAAGAATGTTAAGATGTTAAGAGTACTTAACTTTGAGAGTGGAGAAGGGGTGGGGGCTATGGGTGGATGGCAGAGGGAGTAGGGGCAGGTGCAACTGCGTGACCCTCATGAATGAGAGAAACGTCTCATGTGCCCGGGGCAGGGAGCCAATGGGAACACTGGGAGGGCTTGATACCCTGCCCTGAGAGCCATGGCTGTGCACTGGCTCGTGGAGGAGCAGTGCGGGCGTGCAGCGTGTGGGGGCTCTGCGCTGCCTGTCAGAGGCCGGACAGCACTGCCGGGAGGCTGCGTCGACAACGACGGTGGCGGTGATGGGCACTGCTCCAAGGGAGGCACCATAACCCAGTTGAACTCTGTGTCTGGAAAGCCCAAGATTGAAGAAGAAAGACCAGACACAGTGACTAACCTGGAAACTGGGACATCTTTGGAACTGTGCCTTCATCCCGAGTTATTTTTTAAAGTATCACGTGGTATCAATGTCTTTGTCTTATTCTGCTTATTGGGAAGAAAAGGCTTCAAGGATTTTAAGTTTTCCTTCAGTTTTGCATGAACTCTATAGGAAATGGGGCCCTCGAAGGGCTTGGGAATAGCAAGAAGAGATTGAAGACAGAGCAGCTTGCTCTCTCTCTGTTTTCTCTCTTCTTAAAGGAAAGTCTTTACAACTCAACTTGTAACAGCTGTAGTCCAGCATTAGCCACCAAGAGAGAAATAAATAATATTACAGAGCCATTGCAGACTACAAACCCTGGTGAAGTCAAGGTGTGGGAGCGGTGGCATTGAGAAGGCTGCCTAGAACTGACAAGGGCTGCAGTGAAAACAGCTCTTCTTCCACGCTGGAAGGGGCTGCAGGTTCCTTCATGGATAAAAATGCACAGCACACACCTCTTCTAGGTAGTGCTCACATTTTGTGGGAGTGTGGTAGTCGTGGAGGTACTAGAGTATCTCCTCAGGAATTTTCCTTGCTCAGAATTTCCTGCCCTGCCTTGAAATTTCCCCTTCTTTTTTTTGAAGACCTGCCTCTGTCCATGAGCGGTACCTTGATCTGTCTGACTGTCCATGTTCTCTACCTGCAGCTACTTGTATGTGTACAGCCTCCTGTTTGTCTCCCATTTCCAAGCTGGTAAACTTGTGTTTTTTTGTTTTTGTTTTTTTTATATTTATTTGAAAGTTACACAGAGGAGAGGCAGAGAGAGAGAGAGAAGTCTTCCATCTGCTGGTTCACTCCCCAATTGGCTGCAAAGGCTGGAGCTGCGCCAATCCGAAGCCAGGAGCCAGGAGCTTCTTCCAGGTCTCCCACGCGGGTGAAGGGTCCCAAGGACTTGGGCCATCTTCTACTGCTTTCCCAGGCCATAGCAGAGAGCTGGATCAAAAGTGGAGCAGCCAGGACTTGAACTGGTGTCCATATAGGAGGCCGGCACTACAAGCAGCGGCTTTACTTGCTACACCACGGCGCCAGCCCCCAAGTTGTGTTTCTTAACCTCCTCTTCTGCTTTGTTCTGGGGAAGCGGTTATTTATCACTTGCAATCCACCTTTACCCCTCCCATATGTTTCCTTCATTTGAGATATTTTGACCTTCAGTTTTGTTTGGGGATGTGGAAGGATGATAATTCTAAATTTTTTGTTTCCCTGATTTTTTTTTTTTGTTTGTTTTTTCTGTACTCTTCTCTGTTGGTTCCCTTATCCCATTGTCTTATCCATTCTGCCTCTGAGTGGGCCTGGGCTATGCAGCAGGGCAGATCTCCCCTCAGAGCTCCAACATGCTGCAGAGTCTGGAAAGAGATTCAGACCCAGAAACACGTCCTGGCCTCAGCAGCCGCTATCTTCTTAGTGGGAGCTACAACACTCTTCTTTGCTTGTCCAGAACTAAGCCTGAATATGTCACCTGCAGTGCCCATCTACAATGCATTTATGTTTCTCTTTGTTCTGGCCAATTTCAGTAGGGCCACCTTCATGGACCCAGGCATTTTCCCTGGAGCTGAGGAAAATGAGGACAAGGAAGATTTTTGAGCTCCCTTTACAAAACAGTGGAGATCAAGGGCATCCAGGTGTGCATGAAAGGATGTGCCACCCGCCGCTGCTACTGTCCTCCTCGGCGTTCCCACACAGTGTCTGTGATAATTGTGTGGAGGAATTTGCTCATGCCTGCCCCTGGGTGAACAACTGTATTGGCCGCCAGAACGAGCATTGTTTCTTCCTCTTCCTCCTTTCCTTGACAGCCCACTCTATGGGTATATTTGGCTTTGGCCTCCTTTATGTCCTCTGCCACATAGAGGAGCTCTCAGGGGTCTGCACACTGTCACAATGGCAGTGAAGTGTGTTGCTGGCTTATTCTTCATCCCTGTAGCTGGCCTCACAGGGTTTCATGTGGTGCTGGTGGCCTGGGGACGCACAGCCAATGAACAGGTTATGGGTAAATTCTGGGGAGGCATGAGCCCCTTCACCAATGGCTGCTGTAACAATGCACTTTGCAGTTCCCCAGCACCCAGATATTTGGGAAGACCAAAGAAAGAGAAGACAATTGTAATCAGACCTCCCTTCCTTCAGCCAGAAGTGTCAGATTACTGTGAAGATCATGGATAATGGCATCCAGGGAGAGCTTAGGGGAACTAAGTCTAAGGGAAGCTTGGAAACAACAGAGAGCCAGTCCGCAAATGCCAAACCCCGGCCTCCTCCTATGCCAGACCTGAGCAGCTGCATGGGACTGCGAACACACCTTTGCCTGGCTACTAATGGAGATAGCAGCTTTTGGGGCAAGGACAGCCCCCCACACCAACCATGTACAAGTGTCGGCCGGGTTATAGCAGCAGCAGTGCATCAGCTGCCCTGCCTCATTCCTCCAGCACCAAGTTAGTCATGGGGACAGTTTGAGAAAGCCAACCTCAACTGCAGAGAGCAGCCGTCATCCCAGTTACCACTCAGAGCCCAGCTTGGAACCCGAGAGCTTCTGTTCTTCCACGTTTGGCAAAAGCTTTCACTTTGACCCACTTTCCAGTGGCTCTCATTCCTCCAGCCTCAAGTCAGCCCAGAGAACAGGTTTTGTGCTGGACCAGTTGCAGTCCATGTGTTCAGAGGGCACCACTTCCACCTCCTGTAAGAGCCTGGCCAATCAGAC